CCAGAGGTATTAACCCGACGGACGGGAAGGACGCTGCTACGACCGCATAGTTTTTAATGGCGCTTCCCGTTTCACGCACACGGGCCAAATACAGGGTCGTGCGGGATTTTCTCCATGGGAGAAGCGTGGATTAAAGTTTCCCGCGATTCGGAGACAGGCCGACTGAGACGTGATTGCCCGGGTCATTAGGAGACGAGGCTCCCTCTGGAGAACACGTCCGACCTACGCCCTATTTACATACAACGGACAGAACACCTGTCATATTAGCTACCTCTGATATTTGTTACTGTACCATTGTCCGAATAGCAATATATCTCATATTGAAAGTTGATTGCTCACTGATATCACCTGCGGTGAACGGGATCGGCCGATTTTTTTTAGTTAACAACCCAGTGTGTGTTTCGAAAATGGTTTCATAATCCTTTGGTTGCTAATATGCAAAATTGTCCGTCCAACCTGTTGAATTTATTGTGTGCGTGTAACACGTGCCCACCTCAACTAACGATTGTCATCACTGTCATCGATTTTTCTAAATGTGTGGTGATTAGTGACCGTTAATCGATGATTATTCGGAGATAGTGATATGCGGTAATTGTGCCATTCTTGTGTATTGTGTTGAGAGTGGGCACGCAGAAAACAAACACTTTGAGCCCTGAAGATGAACGATCGAAACGTTGGCACGATAAAGAAAATGTTTTTCTAAAACCATCGACACACCAGACCGCATCTCACGATCTCCGAATAATGTTTCTAAATTTTTCCCCTGGATGCATTTTATTTTAAAAGTCCAACAGCAAAAATTTTACTATAAATGGTGTAATACAAATTCCTTATATTTTTATAAGTTAAATGTAAAATAAGTCCAACTTTATAATTAGAAAATTTGAACTTTTTTTATTAATAATAAAATCAAATGCCATTCGTCAATATATATTTATTCTAATTGTAGGTCTGTTACTTCTTCACTTGAATTCAAATGAAATATATTCAAGGCAGGTTAAGGTAGTTTTTCTCCATCATATACAAAAATCATGTCTTACAATTAAAATTTAAATACAATTCTTTATGATAGATTATTCAAATTTACAGATTTCATTTACAGGTTGTGAAACAATAAAAAAGAAGCGTTTTTAAAGAAGAAAATTTTAGGGAACAAACAAATCATGAACTTCGCGGTATATTATAGTACCGTAATCCTTTTAGCCGCCTAGCCATAAGTTTTGTCACAAGATGATGTTGATGATACTAGGAAGCGGGGTTTGTGCTCCCCAATCTCTGCAGTATATCTTTCATCATTTCTATTTAAAAAAAATCATATCTTACACATCATACTTAAACCATACAATTAAATTTTAAATAGATTTTTTTATGATAGATAATTCAAATTTACAGATATTATTTACAGGTTGTGAAACAATAAAAAAGCTTTTTTATAGAAGAAAATTTTAGGGAAAAAACAAATCATGAACTTCGCGGTATTCTATAGTACCGTAATCCTTTTAGCCGCCTAGCCATAAGTTTTGTCACAAGATTATGATGTTATTGTACCATCCTAGTTACCTAGTTCAGTGCAATGGACGCAATCTTCATTTACAGAAGTATTAGGTCTGTTGCTGCTACTATTTTATTCCCTAGGTTCTGTTACAAGAGTTCAGGTTGTTTTAAATTAAAATAAGTCTTAATATCCAAATATTTAACACATAAATGAATTACTAGTTAATTCATTTTTCAAAATGACCCCCTTGAGATCCTTGAGGATTGAAGATGACTAGGCCACTTGTCCACTGCAGCGCCAATTGTTTCTTGGGAACATTATTCGACTGCTTTTATCAGTTACCTTTTCAAAGATTCATTTGTTGGGTGTTTTTTGTCTACAGGCTATGCCCTTCAAAACTGACCACAAATGTCCAATGGATTGAAATCTTGGCTGACAGAAGGCCACTCTTCCAGCTGATAAATTCAGAATGGTTCATTCTTAACCAGGCCTGGATAAATTTCGCCTTGTCTGCTGTAGCTGACTCCTGTTCGAACTTCCAGAGATGTCCTTTAAAAGTCCTATTATTAAAGGAAGTTACTGCTTTATCAATGACGTCGGATTGATAAACTTCGGCCCTGGTTTTTACGCCTTTTTCATGAAAGTAGTATTTATTACTACGTATAATTGAATATAATTATACGTAATAATAATATTGATTATAGATTTTGAAATTATAATTGATAACACTTGATTATATTGAAAGAAATTAAAAACAAGTTAATACATCCTAGTTCGTCCAATGTTTACTCAAATAATTTAAATAGGTGTACAGCTAGCTTTTTTCCGTAAGTATGTTCGTACAGTGTGTAATCTTAACAGGTCAAGTTGGCACATGATAAATTGTTGTGGTTTTAATATCACTATAGATAAAGTCATTCGATGGATTGGTGTTTGGTTCTTGTGAGCAGGAGCTTTCTAGGTTGTAAAGGTTATTGCATGCCCATTAACGATCTTTAAGGTCAGATCGCCGTAATGGTTCTCCTCGGGTTCATTTGTCTTTTTCGTTCTCGTCGTAGTTATGTCAGGAGTTTAATAAAGGTGAATAATTACTGTGGGAACAGATTGTGCAGGCTTTAAACTAATGACTTGCTCCCGGATTAATTGCTGGCTGTCCATTGTCCCTTCGAACAGCCTTGTTTGCATACATCCTTTTAGTCGAGGAATTGGTCTGTCTCACACTTTTGAAACGGGACGGCTGTATTATTTGGTAGATGTAGGTCTATGTGCCATGTGGTAATCCCCTCCCAGGCCACTTTTTACAAAGGGCACTCACTCCCCCCACGGAATCAATAACGGGGGGAGGTGTGTTTGCCGATTATGCACACCCCGACACGGACTACTGTTACCGCTGGTCAAACAGAGAGGGTGATGACTCAACCGCAAACAGGGTTTTGTTTCTAGAGCGAAAAAGGTTAAAACGACTATGATCACACGGATCAAATAAAAGCGACCGTGACGAGGGTTCGGTTTACCATCTGGGTCAACAACCGGAAACGACCAGGCCCCGGAAAAACTAAAGCTCCATTTTGGCAAGAAGGGTGGGGGCGAGTGACCAGAGGGTTGGCCAGTCGGTCTGACCATTGGTCAGCATAACACGCATGTCACCCCCTACCAAAGCTCGAGAATGTATCTACCCCCAGGTATACTCCACCCCCAATAACTTACATGTACTTCACATTTCCTTTATATCATTATAATTATTGACAACCAAAATTTAATTGGGTTTTTATGAACTGTTTCTCATAATCCGAATAAATAAATATTTGTCCCGTGAAAAAGCGAATAAACGAAACGAAAGTTAAGCATTCCTTTTCCTTAAATTAATTTACTAACTCTTCTAGTTAGACAAATTCTTCTAACTTTTCTGATAAATCAAATTTAAAATAACGTAGAAATGAAGAATATTTTCATATAATTCATTTTATGTAATCAGTACAATATTAACATAGATGTAAACGAAAATGTAAAAAAAACAAGCCTGAGAATGATTTTTTTAAAAATATTTTTATATTCAGCTAGATTCAGGTACCGGTGACTAACAATCAGAGTAACTATCAATGTAAAGGAATAACTACATGAATAAATAAATAAATAGGCTTGTAAATATATAAATAATAGCATAAACAACAACTACTTAAACATTAATATCACAATTCTTGAAGAGGAATCAAATTTAAGTAAATTAATTTTCAACATAAGTTTAGAAGAAAATCGCAATGCAGAAATAAAAGCTAGAAATGGGATTTTTCTCACAGGAGATAATTTAACAGATCCTGAACTTCGTAATTATCAAAACCATGGAGACGGAGGTTTACCATGTAATTATTTAAATATGCACTATGTTATAGAAATTCACTTGTCAGAGAACTGAATTATTAGTAGGAATATATTTTTTTTCTCTGTGCTTTCTTTATTTTTATTATAGTAAAAAAATTGTATTGCAACTCTGCTGACCGATTAGCATCTAAGCAAAAAAAAAAAGGTTGCGTTGAGATATTTTGTTTTATTTTGTAAATAGCTTTATTAACAAACATTATTTTTTATTTATTTTTTTTAAAGGGTCATCCGACACCTTGGTCATTTCAGTCCCGAGCGCATGCGAAATATTACAACTCACATTCAAAACGCATTCACTCAAATAAATACATTCATACCCATATTCATTGCATTGATTCTGATTGGTAGATGGAGTACTCATTATTCCTCCATTCGACCTGCATACAATAAAAAACTTATCTAATTGGGTTCGATGGGTACTTTTATAAATATTAGAGGGGCAATGGGGATGCTATTCCACCATCAGCACCTCCCCGTTCACTCTAATAAATACACTCACTCTTACAAAACACAAAACACATATTTTGACGGCCACGTACAATAACAAAATTCCCAATTCCCCTAAAAAGCGGAACACGGGACCCTGAAACTCGCTACCGTGTCAGACATCTTTACTTAATTTGACGGCATGCCTTCACGCTCTCTGTATGGAACCAAGGCATGACACGCCTCTATTATGTAGGATACATCAATCACTCTTCCTCTGCAGAAGGCCTACGCGGGCTTTGGCTCAAGATTATTATTATTCGTTTTATGAATTAATTTACAAATTAAATGAACTAATTTCATCTAATATTTGGGGAAATTGAGTCTGACAAACTCATTCAGAGAAAATTGGCGGTCTTAAATAATCAAGTATCATCAAGCTAGATACACTATTTCAACATACCTACGGACATTGTTTCACAATAATAAAAATATGAAAGAATTCTTCATTTAAAATGAAATTTCATATATAAAAATTATTTCAGGAATGAAGAATAAGCAGTGAGAAAATGCTGAAACGATGTCTTAACATGAACTAGTCATACATTTATGATTGCTTTGAAGAACCTAAGAATGTTAATGATAAAAATAAATCTGGTTTCTTAAATTAAAGTAATTCAATTTTGTTTTTTGTTTTCAGCGGACGTCGAGATGCAGCAACAACACTCAGATGTCCTCACGTGTGGAGCCTGTCAGAAGGCGTTCGCACTCGGGGACATCGTCAAGTTCATCCAACACAAAGTACTAGCGTGCAACAAGGAAAACTATTCGTGCGAGCCACCCGCCGGAAACAACCCGGAATCGGGCGACTCGGACGACGGGGGCGTCGGCGTGGTGAACTCGCGGCGGCCGAGTATCTCCGCGCCGATGAAGAAGGTCTCGTCGGCCAGGGTGCTCTGCACGTCCTCACCCGAGGAGGAGCCGCGGTGCTCCACGCCGAAGAGGCGACCCCTGCCGCTCAACCTTCATGAGGACCATCCGGAAGATGACGAGCTCAAGTCGAGAATAAAGGAAGAACTCGACTCGACACCTCCTCACTCCTCACCTGAGGAGGCGGCCTGCAAGAAACTCAGGACGGACGTTTCTGACGCCCAGTCGAACACAACCAACTCAGGTGATTAATAAACTCCATCGTCTTTCATAATTAGATCTTGCTAAATTACATTGTTAAAAATAAATGGCCCTACACCGACTATCGTTCCTGACTATTAAAACTTATAATTTTAAATCACTATCACACTTCGTCTAAAAATAAACTGAATTCTGATCCACTCACTGGTTTTCTATATGTCATTTTAAATTAATGTTATTTCAACTGCTAAGGCTTTAACATAAGATTTTTTTCTTTGGGAGATATGATAAATTTAAATCGAAATTTGCCGAAATATAGTGCCAAAATTTATTTAACATTATTGTTGTAATCTGGTATCATGTGGGTTTAGAAATACATTTTCTTTATCGAGCCAATGTTTTGATATTTATTGAGATTATCTTCAGGGCCTTGGATTTATAAAAATAGTTTAAATTTGACAAATACATGTATGATATGAAAATTAATTTATACAATGTTACACACAATATATCAATTTTAGGTTTAATCAAAGTATTTGTACTCTCAAGTTGTGTGGTTTCTGTTTAGATGTGTCACGGTTGTATGTCGTGTTGAGAGTGTTATTGAGATATTAATGTTTTTTTTTCATATGTTTGATTTTGAAAAAAAAATCAACAAAAATTAATTGTATAACTTGTCCGGCAATTTACATCGGAATTACATCCCAATAACTGGATAAGAGGCTAAAACAACATATCTATGATTGCAAAAACAAACAAACTCCTACAGCACTGTCTACCCACCATTTTCAACAAAACAGACATATACGTAACTTTTTAGAAAAGGTTTACATCAACAGAGATAATCACAGCATCTACAGAACAGACACGTATATACAACGATAGGAATTTTTAGTTTAATCAAATCATTTATCTCAAACAAAGTGTGTCGTTTGTGTAGATGTGTCACTGCTGTCTGTCGTGTTGAGAGTGCGAATGAGACACATTTCCGTAGAAAACACACACTTCGAGTGAGTACAAATACTTTGGTTAAACCTAAAATTTCTACCTTGCATAAATTCATTTTCACACCTTACACTTGTACTTTGTATTATTTAAACAATGTTTATAAATCCCAGGCCCTGAAGATGATCACAGTAAAGTTCGAAACGTTGGCAGGAAACCTACATTTAACCTACATCACACTAGACTGAATCTCACGATCTCTAAATAATCATTTATTGTCTTACCATAAATTTAATTAATAAAAGTGAAATTTTGTGAGTGTGTACACAACGTCAACACATTCTTCAAATTAGAATAATTCCCTATGACCAGATGATTTTAAAATATACTTCTCGGTGAAACATGATACTACTATCTCTTTTTTTTTAAATAGCGATCATTTTTAGACCAATTTTCTTTTAACATAACGGGATTCTTTTTCTAGTTATTATTTGATTGGTGGGATAAATAACGTCGGGGCCATGATGTCGTGTTATCGAAATAACAAATCATACCGCTTGGTTTTAAAAGGAAATATTGAATTAGATTTTGCCCGGCGATAAGTGAAAAATGCTCTTTCGAGTGTAAAACATTAATCAAAAAAGATTCATATTTGTAAAAATAAAAATATATATATTAAACCGGTCTGAAGGTCATGGAGAGTACAGTTAACCAGTGAATATTTTCATAAAAGGTCGTTTGGAAGGAAAGGGTGGGCAGGTGTGCTTTGGGCAGTTGGCCCCCCTTTGAATATTTGTTGTTCTGGTAGATAAAAGCCGCCCCCGTCGATCCATTGTGCAACCCGTCAGATTCCAGTAAACCCTTCACCAGGCGGGGCGTCAATCGCAATAATTAAAGATATGCGTCGTAAAAGCGAATTAAAGACGGAGTTGTAATCCGGCGGGTCCTTTTAATAGTTTTACTGCCGGCCGGACCCATAAAGCGATAAAGTTTATGAGAAAAGATTTGAGGATTACCAGGCCTAACTTCTGTGCAAACAGAGCGCGTTATCATTTCCGTTCGTTTCTGGTGTAAAAAAAATTAGGTGTCCTCGCCACCGCCCACGCATATGTGCACCGCAACCCTTGAGATACACATCGGAACCGGTCCGGGGATTATCTCCGCTTAGTCCCCCTCGGATTCAATGAGAACCGATTGAGCAGGAGCGGCCACCGTGACAAGCATTGCGACAACACACGAAAATACGTTACGCCGTGTCCTGAATGGAATTTAATTAGATGACACGAAAGCTGCAACCATCGGCCCATCCTTAACAACCATTGTCTCATCGGCAGACACCAGTTATGTACAATTTCACGAACAACGAGGTAGACGGTCGTGCTACAATGCTCAAACAAAAAAGGCCAAAGAAGGGGGCGGATTTTTAAAACGTCAAATTAAAAAAGAAAAAATTATACCTAGCAAACATAATATGGCATTGTTCGCAACCATATAAAACCAACTTGCATCGAGATATAAAAAAATCTGTGTAGAGCACAACCGTATAGTTCATGCTCGAATTACTAAATAGGAAAAGGAGATTCAACTCTTCATTGTTCAACAACGACCCTCCTGATTAAAAGAATTATCAATCAGAAAATCAAATGTACAGTTCAAAACTTCTGTTTCAATACGATTATAAATAAAAATATAAACTCTAGTATGTATAAGAATATCAAAAATCGCAACAATAGATCAACCAAGTCCAACTTTCCTTAACTTGTTTTATTCATAAAATTTCTATTACGTAGTTTAAAGCCTCCGTTGAAAATACTTAACTTATTTAATTGCTATGGAAATTTTAAAAAAATACATAGCTAAAATAAATTCCTCCGTCATATCCATAACGTTCCCCTATAAAAATACAGAAAATGTTAATTAATATAACAATTTAACTTAAAATTAAACTATACCAAATAAAATGGAACAGAAAGAGGCTTTAACATATTATTTATATTTGCCAATGAGCTTCTGCGATTCCTAGCTTGTTGGACAGTCAGATTGGGGGAAATTTTTCTATACATACACATTTTTTTCTATACATACACATTTTTTTCTATACATACACATTTAAGATCATTTGATGTAATTTTACTCTTTTATCTTACTTTATATTTGATCCATTTGCATATCATATTGTATTTAACCAACTTCATCTCTATGCCTTAATTGTCTATAAGGGAGAAATAATAAATAAATATTCATTGTGTCAGACTGACGTAAAGATATACAGAAATGCCGAAAGGGCTCAACCATACTCTTACTTGAGACTTTGTCTGTATTAAATCAGATTGAATTTCAAAAACCGTTTTTACCAAATAATGGAAGGAGCTCTTATGAAAATAGAGATTCTCTCTTAGCATCCCTTGAAAACAAGTTTTGTAAACGTTGGTTTATGATTAATGCCACGAAGTGTAATTTATCACTTTCACACTGATTGTGGTGGTACCCCTTTCCCGATTGGAGACAAATTAATTTCTTAGGCATTGTAACGGACAAAAAATGACATAATCATATGAGATGTATATGAAAAGGATCGATTATAGATCAGTACATAACACAAAACTAATTTAGTAATTTGAAGGTTGAATTTCTTGGCTCCATATAGAGAGCGCATAGGAATGCCATCCGATAGGAGAATTGGGTTTGGTATAGCAATGAGGGCCTGGTCCCCTGTTCCAATTTTTGGAGGAACGTGGTGTTTTATTGTTTACAGTAATGATAATTTTGTCCGTAGCGTGTATGTACTTATTTGCGTAAATGACAGAATATCGGGTACCCTATCGGTCCTCATTAGGTTAGTTATAAAATTATAATTTTATTTAAAAGTTACCTCAGACTTTACAAATTTGACGGACGAGCAAAAATACCTAGGCAGGCCAAAGTGACTGGTAACGACCAAATTTAAAATCACAAAAATAATGACGAGAAGGACTAGTCAATTTAAATGAAGCTATAATACTTAAATTACTATACATATAAATGAATGAGCATAAAAATACTTAATTATCTTTAATTGAAAAGCCCTCCGTTTAAAACGTAATGAAAAAAAATGTATGATATTTTTTCTGGATTATCAATTTAATCCATTTTATACTCTTTTGTTTTATAGTTGCTGTGCTCATTTATATGTAAAGTGCTAAACCTGCTCTTTATTATTTTAGGATTATTTTAATGTGCTTCGAAATAATTTTTGAAATAGTATTTTCAAAACCACAATTATTGTGGAGTTTTGAATTATTGTAAAGTACGCAGTATTGAACAGTAATAAACCAAATTAATTACTTTATAAGTTCTCTATAATACATACAGAGAAAATTAATAACTGTGGTTGAATTTTGTACGGGATAATTGTTCTTTTTTCTTCTCTTTCTTTCTTTTTTATTCACCGTTTTGTAGAAAGTACAAACCGAAGGTTAATTAAGGGTCTTCATACCCTGCTGACACTATATCAACACGTCAAAAAAGTTTCGACCGATTAATAAGGATGTATGCTAATCCGGAGAAGTCGTGACGTTGGAAATGCCTTTCGGAGAAAGGGAACTTCGTAAATAATTAATTTTAATAGCGTTATAATTAATTGTTCATGCCGTAATTAAATATAATCAGATAAGTTTTTTTTTGTTTGTTTTGTTTTCACAGGTAGGCAAACGGCCGTTTTCCCTTGTCGGCGGCGCGCCCATCGTCGACATTTGGGATTGTCAACCGGTCCACTTGTGAACATTGTTCACGACCGGTTCCGGGCTCGTGCCCGTCTTGTTTAGCATATCTAATGTTCTATCGGAGGGCAGATAAAGTTTTCAGGGTGTCGCCGCCACGTGCATCCCCTGTTTTGTTCGAAAACTCTGCATTTTTCACCGGAATCTGGGCCGTGGGATCGTGGATCCACGGTGGCGGCCGTTTGTGAAATTTCGCAACAATTCAAGTACACAAATGGTGCAGAATTCGTACACCGAGAGTCCTCGAGAGATATTTTGGGCCCTGCCTCGTCAAAGGACGGCAAATTGGCGAGGTGACTTTCACTTTCGCGATTCCTTAAAGGTCTTCCACATTCCATAG